ATGGTGCACAAATTTAAATCGACAAATCTTGATTTTTGGTAAAGTTGGACTCCCGATTCAGAAAATTAAACTAAATTTTTTTTAGCTTGTCACCATTTTTCTTTAATGTGAAAAAAACGGTTTATTCGTCTATTATGCCTATTTGATCATTTTTTGGTTTGTTTTAGTAACAAGAAAGGAAGCAAACTTCGGCAAGTCGAAGTTCGTATACCCTTGCAGCTATTGATGAAATTAAATATTCTTGAAATCATTAATATTAGATTTACTTGCGTATATGTTAAAAACATTAAAGCTATGATGATTTGAAGTTCAATTATTTGATACTTTCTATGGTAGCTTATGGGAACTTTATGTAGTCGTCCGATTTTGATAATATTTAAACCGTTATTCTGAAAATTTTAACCATTACTATATATCTCGAAGAACTAAAAAAAAACTTTAGAAACAGCAAACTTAAAATTTTTTCATTTATTTTTTTAATTACTCCTATGGGAGCGAGAGACTAGTTTGCGTAGAAACGGACAAACAGACGGGCATGGCTAGATCGACTCTCCTAATGATGCTAATCAAGAATATATATACTTTATAGGTTCGGAAACGTCTCCTTCACTGCTTTGCAAACTTCTGACTGAAATTATAATACCCTCTGCAAGGGTATACAAAATTTATTGGTTTATAAATTGTCAGATCAGAAAAAATCTTTCTAACTATGTGTTTACTGACGGTTTTGAATCTGTTGGATTTGTTCAAATCTGTCAATTGCTTTGGCCGTAATACATCAATACAAAATAAGTTGATACAAAATTTGGAGTGTCTATACCCTTACAGAGGGTATTATAATTTCAGTCGGAGTTTGCAACGCAGTGAAGGAGACACTAGGAGAGTCGATCTAGCCATGTCCGTCTGTCCGTCTCTCAGTTCTAAAGCTATCTGCATGAAACGTTTCCAAAAATTGTCTTTCCATTGCAGGTAGTATATAGTCGGAACGAGCCGGATCGGACGACTATAGCATATAGCTTTCATAGGAACAATCGGAACAATCGGAAAAATAAATGAAACGAATTATAAGTTGCTGTTTTTTTAGTTCCTCGACATATGGTAATGGTTAAATATTTCAGAATTACGGAATAAATTTCATCAAAATCGAACGACTTTAACTTAAAGCTCCCATAGAAACAATGAAAACTAAAAAAAAAAAATTTTTAAATGTACCTCTTTTATTTTGTAATTTTTTTTTAGAAATTCTTTTTGATTAATTAATAATTTGACAGTTCTGAATTACGCTTTTAGTTTTATTAAAATCGGAAAACGATATCACATAGCTGCCATATGAAATATCAAATAATTGAGCTGCAAATCATCATAGCAATTCAATCATAGCTTTAATGTCTTCAAGAATATTTAATTTTAACAATAGCTGCAAGGGTATATAAACTTCGGCTCGCCAATGTTTGCTTCCTTTCTTGTTTAAATCGTTATTGCCATCAAAAAAAAGTTTTTAATCGAAATAAAGTTTTGGAGCATTTGGATTACCTGACTGAGAAATTCTGTCTCTACTCTAACCCTTTGTAAAGGATCTTGATGCGTATGCAGCTAGAAGTTTAAGTCCTTTTTTGTTTTGAGTTAAAACTGCTCCACAGGCTTGCTACTTGAATCTGTTAGTATGCAATGTTCTCTGCTGAAATATTGATTTTAAAAAAGAGTTGGGCTTATAAGTGCAGTTTTAAAATGGTCAAAGGCATGTTGGCAGAAAAGCATGTTGACGTCATGAAACGTCCATAAAAATTGCTAAATGCAACGAATCTTCTAGCCGCTGTACTCAATAATTTTTAATAGCGTCGATTTTTTGTCGTCTGACAATATTCCCTTACAAATGCAATTATGTCCCAAAATTGTGACTTCATTTATGTAACTTTTAATTGTATTTCCCACATTTCTCAAAAACATCAGTTAAGTTCCAAAGCTTTTGTTTCTCTGAACAATTAAATCACCAGTATAAAGAAATGCTTGAGTACTTTCAAGTGCAGAGAATGCTACAGTCTTCATTCTCTGAAAGAAAATTTTCAAATTCAATTTGATGAAATCATGACACTAAGGCATGACAGTAAGTTATAGGGAACAAAATATTTGTATTAATCTGAAGACAGTAATTACTAATCACTTTTTTTTCTTGTCATAATCCGGAAGCGATTTTTCGATACTTACAAAAGTGGGCTGTTATATGCTGATAGAGACGAATCTACTATTTTGTGGTTTATTAACTTTCGTACCTGTGCTTGAATTTCTTTTTTTAGATTGTAAAAGTTAAAATGCTCGTAACAGGTAGAAGGAAGCGATTCCAAACCTATAAAGTATAAATATTCTTTATTCTGATGATGCTCAAATATCCTAAATTAATGAATGTATAAATGGCTGTAACATTACACTGTGGTCAGAACGACTACTTTTAGTGGCATTATATAATAACTAAAGAACAAAATGAGCTATTTAAGTTTAAGTATTGGACTACTTTTTACTTGACCTTATATTTATTTTAGTATAGCACTCATGAAAGTGGACCGAGTATTAGATATAACAAAAAAACAGCCAAGTTAGTCATCAAAACAGAATGTAGGTCAGTCGAACCATCAGCAGTTCTCCGAAAAAATGCGGTTAGCTGACACCACGATTTCATATGTCGGGCAAAAACTTGTGCTACCAATGCATTTTGTCTATAGTAAAATACGAATAATATAATAATACTCTTTCCACCTACTTTGTAAACCTTAGCACTTATTGTACCAGTCAGTTAAGTTTATATAAAATCAGTATCCAATTCAAACGATCAAAGAGTTCTGACTCAACCCCAATCCCAATCAGGCTGTCGCTGTACCTCTCTTTTCACATTGCGCATTAACAAGATCTCAAGTCCATGGTTACTATAAAGTTGTCTTTTACAATGTTCACTTTAACCAAACGAAAATGTTGAATTACATAAGCTTAATATCAAATTTTTGTTTAAATGTTATATGAATGGTAATACTCAAGCTCGGGTTGTAGAACTCTCTTCGTCTCGTCGGTCTCTTCTGGTCAGCAGATTCTCTCTGGTAACACCTTCTCTCCAGTTTTTCTTCGGCAGAGCTTCTTTTTTAGCTCCTCTCTGGGAATACTCCTTTGGTACCGTCTCTCTAGTAGCCCTTCTTCTTGCTGGACTTCGTCTAATGGCGCTTTACTGGTAGCGCTGCTTCTCCGGTGCCGCGTTTTTTGTAGCACCTAGCTGGTACAGCTTCTCTGGTAGCACTTCTTTTGTAGCGCCTCATAAGTACAGATTCTCTGGAAGCCAGTCTACTGTAGCGCCTCGCTAATACAGCTTCTCTGGTAGCACGGCTCTTAAACAATTGTCCTCTGGTAGCACTACTACAGTACGCCTTTTGCTGCTCCTCGCTTCGCCTTGTTGTTTAGCAATCCTTGGCTTAGCGTTCAAGTGGTAAATCGAATTGTCCCCTCAGAATAATTAATTCCTGCAGCAATACAGCATTACAGATAGCTCGTAATTTCAGAACTAAGAGTTTGTCCTCGTTGCATTGCTCTCTGTTTTGTGGTCGCCATTCATTTCTATTGTCCTCTCTTTTTTTCCTGTGTTCAGCTACAAAACGCAAAATTTTCTGGTTCGCGGCGACTACTCATTCAAGTAAAAACTTCTTGGCTTGCGAACAAATCCACAATATCGGCTTCACGTTGCACACATACCACGCAGCAGCCGGTGATCGTCGCGAAATCGTCAAAGATAGGCTAGCTAAGGCACAGCAAGACAACATCAAAAGATGCAATGCATCCAGGCAAAACCGCGTTTTCGAGGTCGGAGAAAAGGTGTTCCAGAAGAACAACAAAAGGTTAGGGAACAAATTAACTCCCTTATGCTCAGAACTCCCTTATGTTAAGAACTAAGCACATAAGATACACTCTTTTCTGTCATACATTGTTATTCATACACAATCATAAGTAATTTGGTTGCCCTCAGCAACAAATACAACAACACTTAACACAAAGCCTTAAGCATTCTGTTTGCCCTCAGCAACAAAGTAATATTATTGTTGATTATTAAACAATGCTGACTCGCTACCAAGAGTTCTGCGCGCAGCAACTGTAAACGGACACCGTGTTGCTTGCGCAAGAATGCTGAGTCGGCACGCCGACTCGAGCGAATGGCGTGATGCATTGACTTCGCAGGGCTAACTTAAGCTTGAATATTTCTGTAGCCTTTAGTCTCAATCTAGATCACAACACCATAAGACGAATACATGATTAAAGCTCCGGCATCGCCGTAAAACAAGAATATAAAACATTAATTGTGTTATCAATCATAGTTGACCACGTCCAAGACCGGCAACTGGGAAAGTTTCCCACAACATAATCACAGTGTTCCAGTAATCAATTATTGGATGCATCAACACCTCAACGAAGAGAAGAAGTTATCACCGTCAACGGATCGTCACTCGACAACCGAGTTAGGCGGAAGACTTAATTTATACGCATATAAAACCAAAACCAAAACCTTCGGCTTGTCGAAGGTTGCTTCCTTTCTTGCAGTTATACATGTGCTAGGACTTTAATATCGCAATCCTATACCACAAATTCTATACAGGTCTTGATAACATTAAAACGTATCTCTTCGGCACAAAACTATATCCTACATTTTCCTCGGACTTTTATTCCTATTTGCACATGCCGCGTCTATCTTTTCGTAAATCGTGACTTAAAAGACATTGCTGGGCTCCTTTTTTGGTTAGGCTGGTGGTGACCCGTAAAACTCCGTGCGAAAAAAAAGCATTGAAAGCATCGAAAATTAAAAGCATTGAACATTGAACATTAACATACAGTAGTAACAGTACAGTAGTAGTAATCGCCTTTGGAAACTTGTTTGTTAATCGTAAAATTGAATTAATTTTTTTGATTAATCCAAATTAAAAATCAAGTTCGAACAATTGTGTTTTTAATAGTTTAATCATATTATAGATTACCTGTTTATTTTCGTCGGGAATTGAATACGTTTCATCATCAGATCCACAGGCACCATATGATCTTGAAAAAACTTTCACAGACTCGCGCCTACAATTATTTGAGTCCGCATTTGCTAGTACCCACAGGGGTATTTCCGCAAAACTGGTTATTGTAAACGCAACACACATAATAAATATGATTGTTATTATTGAAAAAACGGCCTTTACGTGTCCACCCAATCGACGACCTAAAACCAAAGTGAACAGCAAAGCTATGGAACATTTTGATTTCTTTTTACTTACCGATATCAGTTTCGTCCCAATTTAGTCCTCCCATTGAATATCCAAAAAATCCTCCTAGACCTGCCATGACGGTAAACGTAGACAGTCCTCTTGCGTGATCTTCTGGCAAACATACGTCTAAAAGATAAGCTCTTGCTGGACTCTGACAAGCATCAGCGTCAAAGTCGAGAAGAACTGTTCCCAATACTGTAAAAAATATACCCCAGGCATGGGAAGATTTCGGTGACGTTTGATGACTATGACTGACATTTTTCAAATTCTTAAATTCAGAAAAATCATCTCGCTGATTTGCATCTCCAAGCCAATATCCCAAGGATTCGCCATTTGGAACCAAAAGAAGTCCTTAAAATAAGTAAAGACCGTCTATTAAAATTATTTAATACTTGGAAATGTGTATTTTCAACAAAAAACAAGGGGGAGAGCTATAGTCGAGTTCCCGACTATTAGATACCCTTTACACAGGTAACAAATTTCAAAAACAATACTTCCAGTGCCGAACTGCAACGACAACACTACAAGCAAAGAGCGATCAGCACCCAACCCCCCTACAGCCTATCTTATGCAGAGCAGCGGCAAAGAACACACGAACATTTAAAACCGCTGTCGGAGCACACACATTGACAAGTTATCCGTGCAACTACTCATACAAATTAAGTGCGAGCTTTTGGTAGTAGGTGTACTCTCCGCTGCTCTTCAAACATGCAGTATCGTCTTAACTAAAAATAATTGCCCATTACTTTTAAATTAACTGCTCGATTTTGAACATTTTTGTGTCTACCGATAGATACCCAACACACACACACAATACACACAAAAAGCCTGACAGATACGGTACATATCACAGAGTGATTTTGCGATTCGTGGGCGTTAGATTATTGGATCCGTTTGAAAATAACTTTACGCTGCGTAGGAACAACTAAAAATGCACGTAAAATCACAAATCTCTAAGTTTTATAGTTTCCTATATTTCGACTTCCCTACGGACGGACAAACGGACAGTATTGGCTAGAATATTTATACTTTATTGAGTCGGAAGCACTTATTTTAACATGTTACATACTTTTTAACGAATAACAAGAAAGAAAGCAAACTTCGGCAAGCGGAAGTTCATATACCCTTGCAACTATTGCAAGAGTTAAACATTTTTGAAAACATTAAAATTATGATTTACTTTCGTATGTTTAAAAGCATTGAAGCTATGATGATTTGCAGCCTATTTATTTGATAGCTATTTTATATATTTTTATTATTTCTATGGGAGCTATATGATATAGTCGTCAGATTTTGATAAAATTTAAACCATAATTTTGAAATATTTAACCATTACTATATGTCGAAGAACTAATAGAAAAATTTAAAAACAACAAAGTTATAATTTTTTTTCAATTATTTTCAATTATTTTTCCGATTGTTCCTATGGGAGCTATATGCTATAGGCGTCCGATTTTGATAAAATTTAAATCATAATTCTGAAATATTTAACCATTACTATATGTCGAAGAACTAAACAAAAAAATAAAAAACAGCAAAGTTTTAATTTTTTTTCAATTATTTTTCCGATTGTTCCTATGGGAGCTATATGCTAAAGTCGTCCGATTTTGATGAAATTTTAACCGTAAATCGGAAATATTTAACCATTACTAAATGTCAAAGAACTAAACAAAAAATTGAAAAACAGCAAAGTTATAATTTTTTTTCATTTATTTTTCCGATTGTTCCTATGGGAGCTATATGCTATAGTCGTCCGATCCGACTCGTTACGACTCATATACTACCTGCAATAGAAAGACAACTTTTGGGAACGTTTCATGCAGATAGCTTAAAAACTGAGAGACTAGTTTGCGTAGAAGGACAGACGGACGGACAGACGGACATGGCTAGATCGACTCTCCTAGTGATGCTGATCAAGGATATATATACTTTATAGGGTCAGAAATGTCTCGTTCACTGCGTTGCAAACTACTGACTGAAATTATAATACTCTCTGCAAGGGTATAATATAACTGAACTTATAAGCTGTGCTTTGGCTGAATCTAGAATTTATAGACGGCCTGTTGTATTTCCTGCGCCGCTCCTTTCCTACTCAACACTCGGAAGAGTACGGTGGAGCAGCTAATTATTATGCTGATTTCCACGCCGACAGCGAACCAGATGTTGGTGACTCCAGCCGATTTCACTTCCTCCTTAAGCCCTTGGATAACCTCCAAGTTTTCGTTGTTCATTCTTTGGAGAAGTGGCATACTTAGCATTGAATTATGGCCGGTGATGTTTAGCAAGAGAGGCCGCCATGCCCGGTGTCTTTTTATAGCTTCGCGTTGATTCGAATACTTAGTGCCATTGATGAAAGCTACTCGCTCGAACGTAATAATATGTGAGCCGTTGGTAGTCATCTCGGGGCCATCGTCGCATTGTTTCGCATTGTTGTTAATAGGGATTCGGTGACTGCTAGGACATCATTGTTGCGTTCGGCAACTACTTTGTCCTGAAGTTGCAGAACGGTATTTTGTTGGGATACGGGAAAGATTGTGACCTTTTTACTTGTAATTTTAAGTTTAGGATATGCAAACAGCATATGGATGATATTACTTTAATATTAAATGCCTCTAATAGGCTTACGATGGGGACCTGTGTGGGGTGATCTATTAATACAGACTTTAAATTATCCTGGTTAAAAATGGCCGGGCTTATATTGGCTTTAGCAAGTGTGACGGTAAGCATTAAATTTTGAATCTCGGTTATTAATATTCTATTTCTGTCCAAAAGAACATTGTATAAAAGTGAAGTGTCAACCACAGCGTTTTGTTTTGCTTTTATAATTTTATTGACCGTCTCCGTGAGCTTGTAGATTTTTTCCTGAGTTGGCGAGTTGATGATTACCTGCCTGTTATTTGACTCTATCAGTCGTGATTCGGACATTTTAAGCATTTCAAGGTCAGATGCGTCAGGAGTGCCCGCTACTACTTTAAGTGATGTACCTAAGAAGTCTAGACTCCTGGCCATCCTATGGTGCACTTTTAATACTGACAATAAACTTCTATATGGTCAGTGTCGACCTCTAGCAATTTTCGCATGTGCGACTTTGGAAATAAATCGGATAACTTAGCAGTTTCGTCTATCATAGCTGAGAATTCCGTCAATTTGCTTGAGTGCCGCGAAAAATGTCTCTGTTCCCACACCAGTGCTATTCCGTCTGTGATAGGGATGTATTGGGCGTGGGAGTAGTCTGTCACTCTAGCTTTAACTATAGCTAACGTTAATAATATAATTCCTGCGAACCTTTAAGAAAGCGAAAAATTAAAACCACTGTGCATTTATGTGGAAAATATGTGTAAGTGTGGGGTGCATATAAAATAAATGCGTATAAAAGAAATTGAAAGGGGTTTTATCTGAGGTTGACGTTCCCATGTCTGCTTGTACGCGCTCTTCAGTGTACAGTGGGGCTAGTTTTTTCCCTAACCTTTTGTTATTTTTAAGGTATACGTTTTCTAATATCTCAAAAATTCGATTTTGTGTTGTTGGGTTGCACCTATCTAAATTTGCTAGTTGAGATTTTTGATTTGGAGTCTAATTGCCAACTTTTGTTCGTTGTTGACTGAGTGCATAGCATCATTGGGTTGCACATTTGTGACCGAGTGTAGCGTTTTATTATACTCTACCGTGGCTCTCATGATGAGCTCGACGGTGACACTTATTTGTTTGTCAATTAGGGAGCTGTGAAAACGTTCCACTTGCCCATTGGAGCTACTGTGTAAAGGAGGTGCGTTAACTTTGAAAATTTGTCAACACAGATTAAGAATGATTTTTTGTCAGTGGAGTAAATATCAATATACAGCATTTCGCCCGCATACGAAGGGTCTGGTGTGACCCCCAAATCCTGCTTCTTGGGGTGTCTTTTGTATATCGCCTTGGTGCACGTTTTGCAGTTTATGACCACCTCATTAGCGAGCTTAGTGATTTTTGGAAAATATTAATCCTGAAGGACTTGTTTCACATTTTCCTGAGCAGCCCTGTGGACGCTGTTGTGTTCGCATCTTATAACTTCTGTCTGGTCGTTTGCATCATTCACAAATCTTTTGCAAAACTTAGTTACCGGGAATTCCAGCACCAAAACATGTTATATGCAAGCTGATGTATGGAGGTCACAGTGGATGGCGTTCACAACATTCACGTTAACTACTTCTTTAACTAACTCGAGTAACGAATCTTTGTTATTGAAATGGATTATGTGACGGGTTTTGCTTCCGAAAAATATTAAATTTCGCCGTGAGGACTGGCTTGCTTCCCCTAGAATTATTTGATTCCTGAAACAATTCAGGGGCTTATCCGTAGATTCGACCGTGTAGGTCAACGAGACTTTCTGTGCACAGTGGCAACGTCGAATTGGGGTTCAAAATCTGAGGCTGAACAAATTTTTTGGTTTAGAGTATTCCTGAATGTTTTTTACCTTTTCAGGGTCTGTTTTGGCTCCGTCTGCCTAAAAATTCTACACTTTCTATGAAGAACTTGGTTTTTTCTTGTGACACACTCATTTTGGTTTCCCACAGCACCGCATCGAAGTGAATTACATGGTCGACAGCATTTTCGTCATATTATGTAACAAATTTTCCCAATCTGCTCGCGCAGTTCATCGTCAATTGCCCTTTGGAAAATGTTTCCTGCAGTTTTTTAGCCCAAAGGACAGACGGCAGAACTCATATTTTCCTCCGTTAATGGAGAAAGAGGTTTTATTCCGGTCGTTTTTGGCCAGATAAATCTGATGGTACCCCTACTTTAGGTCTAGGGTAGTGAAAAATTTTGCCTTTCCTAATTTCGCTAGAATCATATGAATAATAAAAGCATAGGTTAACGATCGGCAATAGTTCGTTCATTCAGTTTCCTGAAAGCGATCACCAGTCGTTTTTTTTTGTTGCCCTTTGGCATCGGAGCCTTTTTTGTAAACAACCCATGCTGGGCTGTTGAATGGCGACCTAGAAGGACAAATAATATCATCCTTTGGAAGCTGTTTGATCTCTTTATTAACAAATTCTGCCGCTCCCATGGGATACGGGTATAGATTAGAACAAACGGGTTCGTTACTTTCCGTTCGAATCCTGGCAATGACCGAGGTGTCAAATGGAAGCGCCTCGCTAGAGCTCGAAAACACTTTACCCCTCTCAAGGATCATTTTTCTAAATGCAGCTTTCACTGAGTTTGGGACTACT